ACTTGATCTGTTGGAGGGTGTTGGAGACCAGGTCACTGAATCTACATCTTACCCCAGGGCTCATCTCAAAACTCAGGCACTGCCAGAGATAACCTATTGCTTAACAATGCCTAGCTAACACCTACACTCCCTGGTGAGATCTCCTGCTCTCTGGCATATCAAATGCTCCCTGATCCTAACAGCCCCCTGCCTCACTTCCCAGCATCTCTAACAACCTCTGCCCCATGGCCAAAGCCACATTCCCCTATTTAAGCCTGTACAGAACTTTCATTAAACGGCAGCTTGATCAGCCATGTTGTCTTGCTGTCCATCTCCCCCTTGTCTCTTGTCTCGTTCATTCCAGGTTCCCCTGGGCTGGAAGCCGTTGTGCCCTGCTGACCAGGGCAGGAGGGGCCCTGGCAATGGCACCAGGACCTATCCCAGGGGCATGAACTGACTTTTGGGAACCCACTCCCTATGGTGGGATACCTTGCTCATCCTTGATATTGGGGAAAGGGGGGCCTTGGTCCTGCCTCAATTTGGTATGCCAGACTTTGTTGACTCCCCAAGGAAGGCCTTACTCCCTTTGAGGAGTGGATGGGGGTGAAAAGGGGGAGGCAGGGGTGGGAGGAGGGTAGGGAGGAGGAACTGGGATTGGTATGTAAAATGAAAAATAATTTTTAATAAAAAAGAAAGTGTAGTACATTTACACAATGGAGGATTACTCAGGTGTTAAAAATGACATCATGAAATTTGAAGGCAAATGGATGGAACAAGAAAAAAAAACCATCCTGAATTAAGTAACTCAGACCCGGAAAGACAAACATGATATGTACTCACTCATAAGTGAATATTAGCTGTTAGGTAACAGATAATAACACTACAATCCACAAACCCAGATAAGCTCAGTAACAAAGAGGGCTCTGGGGGAATGCATAGATCTCCCTGAGAAGAGGAAATAGGATAGATTTTGCAGGTGAACTAGAAGCAGATAGGGATGAGAGGGATTAAGTAGGTGAGGGAGGGATGGAGAGAGAGAGAGAGTATGGGGAAACATGACTGAAATCAGGGGGCACTTGGGGAGCAGCGTGGAAACCTGCTGCAGTAGAAACTCCCAAGATTCTATGAGGATGACCCTAGCAAGGACTCCTGGTAATGAGGGTTTGGGAGCCTAAATGTCCATCTTCTATAACCAGGCAACTTCCAGTGGTGGGACTGGGACACCAACCTAGTCACAAAAGCCTCAACCTACAATCTATCCTGCCCACAAGATGTGCTGGGCAATGGTGGTAGTGGCCACCCAATGACTTGTCCAACTTGAGGCCCAAGCCATGAGAGAGCCCATGCTAAACACTGCCTAGATGGCCTGGAACCAGAAGCTGGGTTGCTCAGAGACCTAGGGTAGAACAAAACAAAAAAAGGCAATGGAATGATTTCTCATGATATTCTGCTATACTTATAGATCTGTGCCTAGCCCAGCTATCATCACAAAGGCTTCTTCTGGCAGCTTATGGGAGGAGAGGCAATAACTCACAGCCAAACATAAGTCAGAACTCAAGGAACCCAATGAAAGACGGGGAGGAAGCATTATAGGATCCAGAGGGGTCAAGGACAACAGGCTAACACAGCACACAGAATCAACTAAACAGGGCCCATAGGGGCTCACAGAGACTGAAGCAGCAATCACAGAGGCTGCATTGGTCTGCACTAGGTCCTCTACATATATATTATAGTTGTTTAGTTTGGGGTTTTTGTGGGACTCCTAACAGTGGGAGTGGGGGGTGTCTCTGACTCTTTTGCCTGTTCTTAGGACCCTTTTCCTCCTACTGGGCTGTCTTGTCCATTTTGATATAAGGATTGTGACTAGTCTTACTGCATCTTGTTATGCTGTGTTCAATTGATGTCTGTGGGAGGCCTGCTCCTTTCTGAAGGGAAACAGAGGAGCAGTGGATCTGAGGTGTGGGGGACAGGGGACTGGAGGAGTGGAAGGAGGGGAGGCTGCAGTCCTTTGAAACTTAAACTCCCGAAGGCCTGCTGTTGAGCTTCACCATGTTTAGCTTTGGTTTTGCTTTGATCTGATTGTGACAGTACCTGGTTCATCCCTCTCAGAGTAAGAAAATATTTGACTTGTTTGTTTTTATTTCACAGGAGGCTTTGGAATTTTATAGATATTTGGAATTTCAGAGAGACTGGATATTTTAATGAGACTGAACTTTTAAAGTGTTGAGATTTTTTAAAGAACTGTGGGACCCTTAAAATTGGAATATTTTATATTGTGTTATTGATATTAATATGAAATCTTAGGGACAACAAAAAGGTTATGGTTTGACAGTGATATAGTTGTGTGTCAAGTTGACAAGGGCTCTATTATACTTGCTAGTTTCATGTCAGCTTGACACAGCTAGAGTCATTTGGAAATGGGATACCTCAACTGAGAAAATGACCCCACCAGATTGGTCTGTGGACAAGCCTATGCTGCATTTTCTTGATTGATGATTGGTGTCGAATGGATGATGCCACCACCGGGCAGGTGGTCCTGGGTGCTATAAGAAAGGAGGCTGAGTAAGACATAATGAGAAAGGCAGTAAGTAGCCTTGTCCTCTGCATTACTTCCTGCCTTGAGTCAATGCCCCGATTTCTCTAAATGATGGATTGCACACCGTAAGCTGAAATAAACCCTGTCCTCAGTCATAATTTTTTATCACAGCAATAGAAGCCCTAACTAAAACAGAATCTAACAACATGCATGGATGAGCTAGTTCACCACCTGGGAAAGCAAGTTGTGGAAGGCAGATGCCAGGAAATACCAGCTAAAGGAGCCAAAGGAGAAGCTGGTGAGGGACCCTCAAAAGTCAACCATCTGAGAAAGCACAAAGTCCCTGGATGCAGGAGCTGGTCAACAAAGCCAAAATGCGCAGTGTGTCTTAAGCTATAGCAGAGAATGAAATAGGGCGGTAAAAAGGAGGGGATTGGAACCTGCCACTTTCCCCAGTGCCAATGGCCCTGCCTACAACTAATGTGTAGACATTTCATCTAAATTGAAACACTGTATGCTAGAGGGGATCTTCTTAAGACTTACAAAGCAGGGGCTGGAGAGAGAGATGGCCCAGTGTTTAAGAGCACATTTTGCTCTTGGAGAGGACCACCACTCAGTTCCTAGCATCTACATATACTACCATCTGTAATGTGGTTCCAGGAGATCTACTGACCCTTCTGGACTCCTGGGACACCAGGCACACATGTGGTGCACATTTCACACACACAGGCAAAACAGTCACACACGTAAAATAAAAATAAATGAACCTTTTTTTTTCCAAAGAGGCAGGAAGTAAACAAAATTTACAAGCCTCAGGTAGTAACCCAGTTCATCAGTCTGCAGTTCTGAAAACTTCCAAGGCTTACAAGATTCCCGTGGTCTTATAAACTGTACCGCTGGGAAAAGGAGACTTTCCAACCAGCCAATGTGCCTGGGAGTCACAAAGGGAGCTCCAGGAATGCAGCTCTCTTGAGACTGCCACTCAGATGGGAAGGGTTTCTTGTGACCTCTCCCCCAGGAAGTCACACAACTGCTGGCTACCCCAGTAACCTCAGGCTAAAGTTAATCTGAGCTTTGACCTAAATCAGAACTGAGACTGGTGAGGAAAGGGTGGAATAATAAAGCAACCTGCAACCAGTAGGACCAGCCACAAACAGGGCAGACGGGCTCCATTTAAACAAGTTGTCTTCATTACATTCCAATCCCAGCTCTTATCTTGACTCAGATGTGACCTGGGCCCCTTCCTAAAGTCTCTAAGCCTTAATCCCTCAAACCAGAGTAGAGATAAAAGTGTCTCAGGAAGCCATAGTTCTTCCTGGAAGGAGGCGGGCAGTAAGGAAGGGACTATACCAGAGGAGTAGGAAGGCGAAGGAGGGGGCACATGGACCAAAACCCTCATGACCACACTTGTTTGTGAGTGACTGTTCTCCAACACAAGCAACTAACTGCCATCGGACATTCAGCTGCACCAGCTACAAAAAAAAAAATCATCCCAGTTAACCCAGTTGGGCTTGTTTACACCCCCAAATGGAGGGTGGAAAGGCGGTGAGATTCTCACCTACAACCTGTTGAACACAACCTTAATTGGTGAGGGCTATACAAGAACACTCATCCCTTCTGGGTGTCGCACCTGCTGTGTAGCCTGCATCCGAGAATGTAGCTAGGTGGTCGGATAGATGACACAGAGACCAGTCGGTTGCTTTAAGAAAACTTTATGTTTCTCCAGTCAGCTTAGGAGGAGACTCCCCAAGTCCGCTTAGGAGAAGAGAAGTCTCTCCAAGAAAAAACACTTCCCTTTTTTAAGGACTTCTGCCATCCATCTACATACAATTCTTTCCAGACTTCTCACCCTCCTGGCTGGTGGTTTAATCTCCGGCCCCAGAATCAGGGAGACACAGCAGGGGGGACAGGAAGAAGCATCTAGCCGTAGGGGGTGTCAAAGTCATGGTGTTTCAGTGAGCGAGCCCTTATCTGAGCCCTATAAAGAGCTTTATAGCACTGAATTGTTTTCAGTAAACATTATCTCACAGCTGCCTGCTCCCAGGCCGAAGGGGAAATGGGTTTCTGCTCAAGGTCTGGTGTCCCACATCTGGGTAAGGTTTTTCAGGTACAGCCTGTCAGGAGGGAGGGGCACCCACACCCCTGCAAATAATCTCACCTGTGCTCTGTAAGGGCACAAAGAAACCCGCTGGTTCCCCAGAGTGAACTGGTGGAATCATGCCTTGGTTTACCATTGGGGCCTTAGGAGAAGGGGTAGTTGTTGCTTATGACTCCCCTAGGAAGGGATTTTAGCAAAAAACACTATTTCCCAGATAATGCACAGATTGTAAGCCCTCCCCTGGGTTAGTTTCCCACAAGGTCCCAGGACTCCCTAGCTCTGAAGGTCCTGGGCATGCAAGTGGCATATGACATGGAAACCAATGAGACAGAATAGACTCTGTGGGCGACAAAATATTTATTGAGTATTAGGCACAGGAGAGGGAGTGGGATGGTGAGTGGCAAAAAAAAAAAAAAAAAGAAAGAAAGAAAGAAAGAAAAAGAAAAAAAAGACATTTCTGGCACTTCAGATTCAGGCCCCTGTGGCTTCACTGGGGATCTCGGTCTAAGAACACTCAGCAGGTGACACGCTCTTCTCCACAGTGTTCCCTTCATGAGTGACCTGGCAGCTGTATCTGCTGTGAGGCGTCCACTGGTGAGGCATCAGTGTCAGGTAGCTGCTGGTCATGTATTTGTTGTTGGTCTGCTTGGAGGGTTGGGTCGTCTCTACACCCTTCGTGACAGGGATTCCATCTACCTTCCAGTTCACCACCAAAGTACCTGGGTAGAATTCGCTCACCAGACATACCAGAGTGGCCTTGTTGGCCTGCAGATCATTTAGGGAAGGCAGGAACAGGGTGACCAAGGGGTCAGACTTGGGCTGACCTGTGCAGATAGAGAAGGGGATGAGAGATGTCACAGGAGAGCCCAAGTGACAGGGAAACACCCTTGTCTTAACAGGAGCTTTGGGACCACTCGTGACATCATCAGAGTGAACCATCCTGGGATCTGCTTCCTCTCTATCCCCTCAAGTCCCCTAGAGAGCAGACAGCCTGGCTCTTCATTAGGTGACATGACCCAGACTCAGCTCCTTGCAACCTCAGTTGCCCCTCTGTGCCCAAGGCTGACTGTGCTCCCATCTCCCCAGTAGCTAGAGTCCAGCTCCCTTCCCTCCGTTACTTCTCCAATGCTCACAGCCTCTGCTGTGAATGGAAACACTCATTTATTCTAGAAGGTTGGTCCTGGGGAGCTGATCTTGAGGTGTGCCTTCTGGTTAGGGGCTCTGGGACCTGTGGTTCAGACTCCATTTAGTTATCTCACCAAGGACTAGATTCCATCCAGGAAAACCCTGGGAACTCTACCAAGGACCCAACAATTTGTCCACAGTGGTTATCTGATCATAAGGCCCTGTGTTGGCTATGTTCCTGGGTCTCCATCTCCCAGACTATGATTATAGCAACCCCAGGGCCACCCCAGAAGTCTCTGGTGACTCTTGATTTCACTTGGCACATTTGCTCCTTCATTCCTCGTCTGTGTCTAAGGACATCTAAGGAAGATGGACAAGTGAAACATCTAGCCAAGTTAGCCACCAGGCCCCAAGCCTGAGAGAGAGAAGCAACAATAGACAGTCTACATTTTTTTCCTAGTAACCATCCTGGGAGAACCAGGTTCTGGTCACCTTGTCACTCTAAGCCTTTTCAGTGTCCCCATGACCTCATGAACCAGCAGAAGATTAGAGAATTGCAACCTAGCTGAGCCTGATTCCTCTCTCAGCCTCCATGGTTTTCTACCTGGAGTGACCTGAGCCTTGAAGGCTGTATTCCTGGCACCAGCCATATGTGTCCCTACTGTGTGGCCTTCTCAGTCTGAATGCACATCTGGGCCTCAGTTCAGGTACGGGGGTCTTGTGGTCTTTAAGCCCTTGAGTCCCATTGGGCATCTGCCTCACAAGAGTAGCTGAAGCTATTGGGGCCCTTCCTCTGAGGCTAGGGAAGGAAGATAGGAGGAAGCCCTACAGGGAAAACAGACTTTTCTGAGACAGTTGGACCATGAACTCATGAGAGCCACTTACCTAGTACTGTGAGCTGGGTCCCACCACCAAAGACATAAAATGACTGGGGCTTAGAAGGAAACCTATGGGGCCAGCATCTGGGGCCTGTTCCCGGTGAGATGGCCTGGAGCAGAAACCTGTTGGGTGAGACAGATACAGGACTACGGTAAATGAACTATGACGTTGGCCGAATGCAGACAGTCAGTCAGTATCCCACAAGTCCATCTGCCACTTCCAACTACAAATTTCAGTGTTGATAGCAACACCAAGCCCGAAGATTCTCAGAAAATTCCTGGGTGGTAGTGTATCTTCTCTGATGGGTGTGGTGGAACCAGGAAGGTAGGTAGGTGCGTGCGTGCGTGCGTGCGTGCGTGCGTGCGTGCGTGCGTGTGTGTGTGTGTGTGTGTGTGTGTGTGTGTGTGTGATTATTAATTGATTTAGCTTTTCATCTAGGTTGAAGCCAGGTGTGTGCCTTTTGCAGTGCCTGTCTGAATCTCTTCCACACCAGTTCTTTGTGATCTATCCAAACTGGCTTCCTCCCAGGACCCAAGCACACTCTATTGTGGAAATTCCAAGGCTTTCATTTCTATCACCAGGCTTTCTCTGATCTTCCAAGCTACTTTCCCTATTGAGTCATGTGTGCATCCGTCTGTGCTAACTAGTTTGACATCAACTTGGCAAACAAACTAGAGTTATCTGAAAGGAGGGAACCTCCATTAAGAAAAGGCCTCCATAAGATCTAGCTGTAAGGCATTTTCTTAATTCATGATTGATGTCGGAGGGACCGGCCCATTGTGAGGGGTGCCATCCTCAGTTGGTGAGCCTGGGTTCCATAAGAAAGCAGACTGAGAAAGCCATAGGGATCAAACCTGTTAATACCACCCCTCCATGGCCTCTGCATCGGCTCCTGCCTCCAGGATCTTGCCCTGTTTGAGTTCCTGTCCTGACTTCCCTCAATTATGAGCAGCAATATGGGAGTGTAAGCCAAATAAACCCTGTCCTCACTGTGCTAGTGTGAAAGAAAATGGCCACGAAAGGGAATATCACTAGTTGGAGGTGCGGCCTTGTTGGAATGGGTGTGGTTTTGTTGGAGGATGTGTCACTGTGGAGGTGGACTTTGAGGTCTCATATATTCTCAAGCCCTGCCCATTGAGAAAGACCACATGTCTGCCCCCATATGGAACCATGATGATGACGGGCTGAACCTCTGAAAGTGTAAGCCACCCCAGTTAAAGGTTTATCCTTTGTAAGAGTTGCCATGCAGTGTGGGCAGGGGAGAGATGTCCCTCCTAACCCCTCACCAACTACAGCAGATGAAGGAGCTGACCCTCCCCCTTACCAGCTGTGGCACTCAAGAAAGCAGGCCCTCTCCTAGGCAGCACAATAGAGCTGACCTTGTTGGTGGTGGCACAGGTGAGCCGGCCCTGAGGGTGTGAGAGGGGAATAGCTGTCCCACCCCTCATCTGCCATATGATGGTGGGGGCAGGAGAGAGACACCCTCCCCCACCTTGTCCCTTACCACCTGTGGCAGTTGGGAGACCTGGCCCTGAGGTTACAAGAACAGAAGAGCTGTCCCTGCCCCTCACCAAATGCAGCACTCAGGAGAATGCCCCTGCATCTCGCCTGAGCAACACTGTAGAGCTGGTCCTGATGATAAAGATGGGAGTGAGCTGAGCCTGAGGGCATGAAAGCAGGAGAACCAGCTCAGCCCCTTCCTTGCTCATTGTTGCAAAGGGAGAACTGGCTGGGGCAATGCAGGAGAGCCCACCTGGTCATGAGGATGGGCAGGCTGATCAACCCTACATCTACCCAGGCCCAGAGCCAGGCTTATGAACTGGCCCACCCCAACATCCACCCATCTGTGATCTGCTGGACACAAGAAGGGGCACATCCTGCAGATCCAAAGCTGCACCATGACACAGAGAAACAACAGGATATCCAAGTGAGAGGGCCCAGTATTGATGGTGTAGCAGAAACCAGAGGCCTCGAACCAGACCAGTGACTCTTTGCAATAAATACTACAGCTTCTTTGATGTGATTTTTCTTTCTTTTTTATCTTTCTCCTCTCTCTCTCTCTCTCTCTCTCTCTCTCTCTCTCTCTCTCTCTCTCATTATTTTCTCTCAGATTTTATTTTGTTTTATTTTAGAGGGAGATAGCAAGGGCAGAGGGCAGATACAAAGGGACAGGGACATGAATGGGACCAAGATGCATGATGTAAAAGGTGCAAAGAATAAATAAGATGTTTTTAAAGAGTTACCATAGGCTGGGCGGTGGTAGCACATGCCTTTAATCCCAGCACTCATGAGGCAGAGGCAAGCAGATCTCTGTGAGTTCAAGACCAGCCTGGTCTACAAGAGCTAGTTCCAGGACAGCCTCCAAAGCACAGAGAAACCCTGTCTCAGAAAAAAATAAATAAATAAGAGTTACCATTGTCACTTTGGGAGCCTATTCCCTACAGAGGGATACTCTTTCAGCCTAGACAAATTGGGGAGGGCCTAGGTCCTGCCCCAAATGATATGCTAGACTTTGATGATCCCCCATGGAAGGCCTCACCCTCCCTGGGGAGCAGAAAGGAGATGGAATGATGGGTCAGTGGGGGGCATGGGAGTATGGAAGGGAGAGGGAACTGGGATTGATATGTAAAATAAGTTTGTTTCTAATCTAAATTTAAAAAACATAAAAAAGCGGGGAGCTGGAAAGCTGGCTGAGCAGTTAAGAGCACTGGCTGCTTTTCTAGAGGACCCAAGTTCAATTCCTAGCACCCACAAGTGTCTGTAATTCCAGTTCCAGGGGATCTGATAACTTCACACCAATGCACATAAAATAAAGTTAAATTATTTTTTAAAATGTGGGATCTGGCTCAGCAATAAAAGAATAAAATATTTATAAAAACAACTTGGACAAAATGCAAAAGAGGACAAGTTCAAAGGTTATATACACTGAGACTCCTAATTTTTAAAAAGAGAAAATAACTTGCTATTCATCCACCCACCTGATGAATATCCAGTGAATCAGGCTGAATGAAACCTATGCAGCACTTCCCCCTACAGAACACAGCCATGGTGCAGCAGCCCTGAGCAGACAACTTATTTTCTGAGACAGGATCTTGTACAGAACCTAGAGACCACTGATTCAGCTAGACTAGCTGGCCAGTGAGCCCCAGGGCTCACCCTAACTTCCCTGTGCTAGAATTAGCAGCATGGCCCTACCTCTCAAAGTTTGAGTGCTTGCTGAGAATCATGTTTGAGCGGCAAAGTCCTCTTGCCTGAGCTATTGCCATGGCCTGTTTCCATTCCCCTAACTCCAAGACCTTTCCATAATATTTAATGGAGGTTTTGATAATTACCTAAGAATAAATATCTAGAACTGCAACTACTTGACCAGGATGAACACACACAATTAATTCTAAATGAATTAAGACCATGGCACACTAAAATGACCTGGGACCATTGTCTTAATTCCAACCACTCCAGGGAGTTTAAGAAGGAGAATGGCAAATTCAAATCCTACCTAGGAAACCTAGCAAGACCTTTTCTCAAAAAAAGAGGTGGGAGGGATGGGCTAAGGAAGTGGTTCGTTGGTAGAAAACTGGCCTAGCATGAGCAGGGTTTAAACCGAGTTTAACCATCATTTGTCCAGAGCCCTCCTCTCAGACAGATCCTTCTTTCTCACACCTCTGGCCTCAACAGCCCCCTTCTTTCCCAGCCACCCATCCCAGTCTCCAGTCCATGGACCCACAAGCAAACATTCCCCCACAAACAAGTCCCTTACCTGCCTGGCAGAGTCCACAGACTAGTTCTGCTGCTTCCCACTGAAGCTCCTGGGCCCATGGCTCTACTCCTTCGTGTTGAACTGGAGGAAAGTACATGCTGGACACCATCCACTAGGCCCAACAGCAGCAACAGAAGGAGAAGTTTGTGCTGCCTGGGGATGGTGCCCAGTGCCTGTCCTGTTCTGCACTTCATTGTCCCTCAGGTTCAAGGTCAACTCTGGCCCCACTTGCAGTGTAGGTTTCCTGGCAAAAGGCTTGCTCCTCCTCTGGTGTCCAGAAGCTATTCCAATGCAAATGGATCTGTGTAGCCACCAGCAGCAGGCACCCTCTAGTGCCCATGGTTGTCATCTGTGGAGTTCTCTCCCAGAGGGACATCTGCAAAATACCCTGTTGTGGTTGGGTTATAAGCTCACACCTGCCTGTCTAATCCTGTCCCTGGAGCTCTGGGTGGCTCTGCCTGACTGATAGCCAGGTCCCCAAGGCCCCTGGTCTGTGGAGCAGGTCCCCAGGGTTTAGAGGGGCCATAGAGAGCAGCTGAACACCTGCCAATGGAAAGAGAGTCTCTGAAGGCTTAACGCCAGGATGTGAGGTGTGGTTGTAGCTACTGCAGGGTCACAGGTACCCTGAAAGCAGAAGTTTGAGTTCAGCAAAAATCCACTGGTCTGCCCCAAGAATCATGATATAGTAATTAAAATGGTGTTTAATGCATCATGTTCAGCACCTGTAGGTCTCATATCACAAGCCCAGACACCCCAAATCTTTATAGATAACACCTCATATCTGTTAACATATAACTAAAAAACATTAACCACTCATGGTAGCACCTATCTACAATTCCAGCACTGGGGAAGCTGAAACTGGAAGATGGTGCGTTCAAGGCCATCCTGGACATATAACAAGATCCTGTTGCAAAAAAAGCAACGCAAAACAGAGAAAGCAAATGAAAATTGTATAGGAGTATATTACATGCTCATTGGCTACAGCCTATATATGCATTATGAAATAACAAACTCTTTTTTGTTTTTCTGTATAATTATATCATGTAAAGCCTATCCACATCACCGTTTTCGGTGACCTAGTGACTTCATGTGGCAGGGTAGAACTTCAGAATTTATCTGTTCAGTCTTCACCCAAAGCCAGTGAGCTTCTTCTCCAGCTGTGGGGGCATTCACTTGACCATGCATATATCGTGGGATTCTGTAGCAAGCAGGTGTTTTGCTTGTCCCACAGAGATCATGAGAACCATACTCCATGAACTCATGAGGTTTTGCTTGGAATCCAAGTCCCTCAAAAACTGACAGGGAACCCTGAGGGGCAAGCACCACATCTTGGAGTGCTCATGATCCATCAAGACAAAGACAGGGTACCAGACAAGAGTGTGAGTTCCCTAACAGATGTGAAGTGAAGGGGACTCCTGGTACAGTCTAGCTTTTCCTCACTTGAAGCACATGGCCTTTTTCCTACTTTGGGCTCCTTATATCTTAAGAGATTAAAGGAAACATCCAAGAAACATTGACCAAATGGTTCCACCACAGAAACTCCACATCCCAGGACTCAGAACCCATAATTCCCCCTTGGAGCAATGCCAGATCTCCAGACATTCCATTCTGTTCTCTGAGGCCTGATGCTACCATGTCTTCTGGGCAAGAAGCAGCCATAAACTACAGCTTCCTTCCGTTATCCAGATATAGCCATCAGTCCGCACCCTCACTCAATATTCAAGATGCCTGACTCTTTTCTCTCTTTTGTAGAGGACTGTCTTATATCTGGATACTTCAGCCCTGCTTTGGTACAAGAAAAGACCCCTTTCCTCTGGCTCCTGCCCACCTCTCCACTCAAGGCCACAGAGAGGCTGCCTATGGCCATTGCATACCCACCCACACAGACTGACCTTTGAACAGCTACAGACTGCTTTTTCCAGATTACACTGGATGTTCTAAAAGTTTCCCAACTTTCAAATCCCTGGCCTGCTCCATGGTCCCTGAGACCCTCTCTGCAGTGGCTTCTCCGATTCATTTTAGAGGGTGTAAATCATACTCCAAAGCCCAGAGATTCCAAGGCTTCACTGGACATGAGAGTGATAATGTAGTCACTGGCAAGCATGAAGATCAATGGAGAATGATAATGTAGCAGTCACTGGCAAGCATGGAAATCAATGGAGAATGATAATGTAGCAGTCACTGGCAAGCATGGAGATCAATGGAGAATGATAATGTAGCAGTCACTGGCAAGCATGGAGATCAATGGAGAATGATAATGTAGCAGTCACTGGCAAGCATGGAGATCAATGTGATGATGAAGTCTCTGTATCTACTTGGCTGAGCCACAAGAGCCCAGGGACTTAGTCAAACGTTAATCTTGATGTCTCATGGATAGTTTTGGTGAAATTAATATTTAAATCATGGCTTCAGATAATACAGATTTCCTTTTATGATTTGGATGGCTTCATCTAGCTCACTGAACAAGAGGAAACTTGGCTGACTGATGGCTTTTGAACATTAACAGCAACTCCTCCCTAGGCTTCCAGCCTAACAGCCTGAACTTTCCATCTTCAAGTTATGGAAATCAATTCCTGACAATCTAAATCTCTCTGCACATGCACGCGCACACACCATTTTGTTTCTCTAGAGAATGCTCTTCAAAACATCTACATCAGAAGCCACTAGGATGCACACGAGTGTCATGTGTGAGCACATACCTCTCCCTGACACCCACTCTCTATGGTGTGGATGTAGCTTGCCCTCTAAAAGTTCACATGCTCAAAGCCTTGTCCTTAGTGTGACAATACTGAAGATGGTGGTACCTTTAAAAGGTGGTGTCTAGGGGCTGGGGAGATGACTCAGAGGCTAACGTGCTTGTCACACAAGAGAGAGGTCCTGAGTGTGAACCCCCAGAACCACATATATGTTCATCTCTACTCCCAGCACTCTGAAGGTGGAAAGTGGGGATTCCTGGAGAAAGCTGGCTAGCTAGACCATCTGAGTTGCCTAAGTCTGGCTTCAAGTGAAAAAACCTGCTTCAGCAATCAACTTCCGACCTCCATACACAACACACATACATACAGCCACACACATATTGATATGTATACACAGACACACATGCAAACCAGAGGTGGAATCTACTGGAAGGTGATCAAGTAGTTGTGGCGTTCACCTGTGGAATACTTTAGTGGAACACTACCAGAGGACTGCATAGAGATCGTAATATTTGTGAGGCCAAGGGTCCTAATACCCAAGGTCTGTAACATTCAAGGGGCAAAGTCTCAAAGTCAGTACTACAAGGGTGTTAGGTTTGTAGGGCCAAGGGTTTGAATGTCTGAGATCTGCACCGGGATTTAAAACTGCTAGGACCAAAGGTTCTGGCGCCGGGGTTACCTGGGATGATAACGTTTGTAAGGCCTTGCCCAACCACAAGCCCTATCCACACAGAACAAAAGAGTCCTCAGCCAGCTGATTGCTGGCCACTACCCTACTCCCAGTAATACTCTTTGACTTGGAACATAACTGCTTAGAACTTCTCAATGCAGGAGGCATAGCATACACACTGGCTTTTCCTAATGAGTCTACCCAAACCAAGTATGCTGCACTATCTCCACTCCCGAGCCTAACTCTGCCCCCACAGCAGCTCCTGCACTGGCCCAGCCTGAAGCTAGAACCCACATCAAACAAGAAAAGGAGTCCACATGCCCAGGTCATATCACAGAAAAACAATATGAAATATCAAGATAGTATGTTCTCTCCCTTTTCAAACCCACCCACTAATCCTATAGAAATGTTCTCCAATGAGAATTGCTTAGATAACCCTCAGCACACAGAAATGAAGAAGAACAATTGTAAACTTGAACAAAGAATCCAAGGAGATTAAAGAAGACATTAAAAAAACCTTCAATGCACTTAAAGCACCTAAGGTATGTCCAAGAAAAGACAAATTCATAGGTGAGTAAAATGATGAAGATAACCCAAGAAATAAAAGCTTATTTAAACAAAAGGTAGAGATATTGATATCTCAAGCAGAAATAAAGGTGGAATTGAAATCTCAATAACTCAATCAGAAAACTCAGGGGACAGCCTTATAAGTGGGATTGAAGATAGAATATCTGAATTTTAAGATAAAGTAGAGAGCCGGGCGTTGGTGGCGTACGCCTTTAATCCCAGCACTCGGGAGGCAGAGGCAGGCGGATCTCTGTGAGTTCGAGGCCAGCCTGGTCTACAAGAGCTAGTTCCAGGACAGCCTCCAAAGCCATAGAGAAACCCTGTCTCGAAAAACCAAAAAAAAAAAAAAAAGATAAAGTAGAGAAATTAAACCACATAAAGAATATGAAAAATATTTTAAATACATGAAAGAAACATATGGGAATTATAAGATACCACAAAAAGGCCAAATCTTCAGCTTATAGACATAGATGAAAGAGAAGAATAAAAAGTCAATGGCATAGATCAGATCTTCAACAGGACTACAGAAGAAAAACTCCCCCAAATTAAGGGGAAACATACACAAACAGATACAGAAAACACCAAAAAGACAGGGCCAGAAAAGAAACTCCCCATATCAATCAGGGTTCTCTAAAGGAAGAGAACTGATTAGATGAAATTACATATAAATGAGCTTTGTTAGGGGGACTTACAGACTGTGACCCTGCTAGTCCATCCATCCTCATCTCCCAAGAACCCAACAGTTGTTCGTTCCATGAGGCTGGATTTCTCAGTTGTTCTTGCGCATGCGTCCGAATCCTGAACAAGTACGCTCTAATACCAGGGAAGGAGTGCTTCTGTAGCAGGATAGAAGGGCTTGTCGTGGAAAGTGAAGGCAAACAGGCAAAAAGCAAAAGCTTCCTTCTTCCACGTGCTTTATACGGGCCCATGTGTGGCCTAGGTTTAGGGTGGGTCTTCTGACCTCTTATGATCGAGATTTAAGGTTTGCCTTCCCGCTTCAACTGATACAATCAAGAAAAATCCCTTCGAGGTGTGCCTAGCCGCTTGGGTTTGTAGTTAATTCCAGACGTCATCACGTTGATAACTAAGAAGTCATCACAAGCTCCAAGTGAGCTGGAGCGCTGAGTGAGCTGGGAGCATCGGCAGCATTGGCTTCCAGAAGCTCTTAACAAGTTTCTCTGGGAAAGAGCACCTGTGCCCCAGCCAGGCAGTGCTTGACAGCTAGCTGACAGTGGAAGAATTACCTGGAGTGGCCTGTAAAGAACAAACTGCAAGAGTCAGGAGAGTGGGGGTGCTGTTCATGCCAGAGTCTCTGGTTCATACAGTGGCAAAGCCTAAAGCTTGATTGATCTCACTTCACTGCATCCTCCTGTGTCTGTCTTTCTCAAGATTCTT